GTAAAGGTAATTTTAATATATTTGATTTAAAAATTCGCTATATTAAGGGTTCGCTATATCAAGGTTTGACTGTAAATGAACTTTAAGACTGAATATATTTATTAAAAAATAATTTAGCTATTAAAAATTAGAAAAAGATTATAGTAACTAAATAATTATTTGCTTTACCAAAATAATAAAAAGAAAATAATTTGTAAAAGTTTAAGCAATTAGTAAGTAAAGTAAAAAAAAAAAACTAAGAAGTTTTAGATTTTTATTATTTAAAAGAATAAGTAAGCCAATATAATAGAATTCTGAAAATAACTTATAAAGATAAATAAGAGTATAAAAGAGTATAACTTTTATTTTCTAGATTTTGATAATCTAATTTTTCTTAATGTTAATTTTTGATACTGCTCTTACTACTTATTAAATAATGGCTCATAATACTTATGACAATTACTCTAATAATATTCATTTATAAGAATTGTAAAAATGTTATATTAATAATACTCTTCTATGATATGAAAAATATAGTAGGTTAAAAATAAATACTTTTTGTAATCATTTAAAAGTTGAATCAACTAAACTACTTTTTGACAAAGAACTATTTTTATAAGCTTTTAGTTTTTACCTAAAAAATAAAACTTGAAAACTAGAAAAAAAATTATTAATTATCAAAGAAAAATTAAAAATTGAAAGAGAAGAAGTAGCTAAATTTAAGAAAAAATTAAGTAGCTAAAAGAGAAAAACAGGAAATTAAAAAATCAACAAAATAGTCAAATTAAGATTGTTGGATGAAATCTAAGGTTTAATCTAAGATTGCTAAATAAAATCTAAGGTTTAGCTAGATGTTTAATAGTAAAGGTAAAACTTGGTTATATTATATTAAATTCTTATTAAAAAATCTGCAAAATTTAGAAAAAGATAAAACTATATCAAAGCTTATAAAAATGGTGAAACTATATCAAATGCTTAGTAAAAATTTAGCAAAACTAAAGATTTAAAAATCCAAAATGAGTTTAAATAAGCAATCTTAAGTCAAATTGTTTAAATTGAAATTAAAGAAGCTAAGAGATTATTTTGATTAAAACTAAGAAAGTAATTTAAAAAAAATTAAGAAAATTTTTGGTTACTTTCCTTTGTATAAATTGAAATTCATTTTAACTGCCAAAAAAAAATGGTAATTATTTTTCTTTTAAAGATTTTTGTTTTTTATTAGATAATAATGTATCATCATAATACATTTTTTCTATTATTTATCTTTCTTTTTGATAAATTCCATAGGTAATTCTTTCTTTTTTTAGATAAGCTTCCAACATCTGAATATTATTTATTTTGAAAATATAAGGAGTAATTTTTCACCTTGTTTCTTTTTTAGAATACTTCTAATGATGCTGTAATTTTTGGATCCTATAGTAAATCTAATATAAATAAGTTTTATATTAATTATTTTATATAGAAACAATTATATATATCACAAATAGGATATTATAAACTGTACTATTAATTATAATTATATTACAAATGATTAAATTATTAAGTATAATTTTTAATAAGACGATTTTTAAAATAAAAATTCTTTTAATAAATTTAGTAAATTCAATAATTTATAATTTTTACAGTATATTATGTTTGAAATCCCAATTGGCGTTTAAAATAACTATTTATTTATTTGTTTTAGTAATACAACATTGTAGGACACACTAATTCCGCGATCCCTTTTCTTTTCCCTGAAAATTTTCAATTATTCCAAATATGCTTAAACGGTTCGGAGAACTTCATTAATCTTTTCAAATATTGTTTTTTTTCCTTGAATTGTCATTGTGCATTTGAACTTTAAATATTGTACAATAGACTATGTAACTTTATTATGTTTCAGAGGCAAATATCACAAAAAGTGATTTTTTGTTTATGGAAATAGAAACTAATATGATCAATGAATTATTCAAATTGAATTGTTTATTCCAAAAGAAATAGCCAATCATTTGATAGACCAAAATCATTCTTTGCGCTCCTTGAAAAAAAGGGATGACCTCCAAAAATTTGGGTTGAAAAATAAGTTGTTGACGTAAGCAACTTTATGATTAAAGATTGCATAATTAGAAGCAATAAATTATTTACCATGTCAAACTCTTGGTCTAATTTCTCAAAAAATTCAATATAAAGTTTTAATAATTTTTTCAAGTTTATCCTTTAGAAAGTATTAAGTAAATCGAATATGGTTCAATCAGAACAGGAAATGGCTAGCGCCTTTATGGACTGGGTATGTTTAAATCTCTCTTTTTAAATACATGCTTAGATGTCACAATTTAAAAAGAGGTTTTTTGTTATATATTAATGTGATCTTATTATATTTATATATATATATATATTTCATTTTAAATATAGGCAAACACCTTTGCAAAGCTTTCACGCCCGGTTGCTAATGTCAGTGACCTTACTGATATTAATATATTGATAGATATAGTTGTAAACATGCAAGTATTATATTGGAAAATTTTAAAATAATTGTTTCTTTTGACTTTATAGTAAAGTAAATATCTCAACTTATATCTTGAACAGTGATCCAAAATGGTTTAAACTTTCTTCTGGTGAAGCTCGGGAAGATAATTGGGTGAATAATTTCAACAAGCTCAGAAGATTAGTCTTACTCCTTACACGTTATTATGAAGAAATTCTTGGACTTCCTTCTCAAAAACTTGAATCTCCAGATACTAGGGCTATTGCAAAAGATGGAAATTTAGACGAGACAATGAAGCTGTATTCATTAATTGTGACTTTGGCCGTGAATCATTCTAATAAGGCAGTATATATTGAAAAAATTACACATTTAAATGCAAAATCACAAGAGGGGTTGATGTATTCCATTGAAAGGGTATGTGCTGTGAATTTAATTCTTTATTATAATATAATAATTTTTTAATTAGAACTGTAAATATAATTACAGGTGATGAAACGATTGGGGGAATCTACTGTCGAAGCAGCACCAAAAATGAACACAGATAACTTGTAATTAAATTTTTATTTTGATTTATTTTTTTTTATATAAAATTAAGATTTAATTTAATTTAATTTTTTTTTATTGCTTGATTTTATTTTAGTGATAATGTTCATGCGGAAAGAGGAAAAATTGTTGCTCAAAAAGAAGCTCTAGAAAAAGCACATCAAGCTTTAATGGAAGAACACACTGCATTGCGTGATCAATGTGTATGTAAATTTCAAATTATTATAAAGCTTTAATATTATATTTGAGATGAATTTCTGAAATAATAGACAGATGAATAAATAATATATGTGTATCAATAGGATGATTTGCAAGCAGAACTGGAAGAAACCAAAAACAAGTTGAAAGATATGGAAATCGCTTTAGCTCAATCTACTCAGACCGGAAAAGCAGACTTTATTTTGAAAGCTGATATTGATCGACTTCAAAATGAATTGCAAGCATTATTTTAAAAATTATCTTTTATATATGAATTTTGGAAATAAATCCGATTTATTATAATATTATTAATTTCTATACATTGTAGGAAGAGATATGAAAAGCAAGTTGCAGAAAACCTGAGGAAACTCTCTGAAAAGGAGGCTGAGATAAATGATCTTTCTCGCAAGGTCAGTTTTTTCTCTTTGTTGTTTATATATATACACACACATATTACATTAATTTTAAACGATTGATAATAAATAGAACGAAGTGCTCTCCGAACAAGCAAACGAAGCTGCGAGATTAAAAGACCAAGTTGATGAATACAGACATGCTGCTGACGAACTCAGGAGAAAAGAAAATGTCATTGAAAAATATAAAAAGAAATTGGAAGAAGCTGTGGATTTACGGCGAAATTTGAAGGTAGAATATATATCAAACTTGTTTAATATGATAGATAATATCATATGTTTTAATTTTAATTATGGTTTCATTCATAGACTCTAGAACAAGAAAATCGCACCCTTGTCGACCGTAATCAAGCAATTTTAGAGGAGTATGATAAAGTGGCTGTTTTCAAAGGATTAATGGAAAATTATAAAAAACAACTTGATGAACTTCAGTCTGAAAAAATAGAATTGGTTAATCAAAAGAATAAATTGGAGTACGAATATAGGCACATGAAGGCAAAATTTGAAGCATACGAGATGGCTCAATCACGTGATCAGGAGACCATACATTTGTTAGAAGATAGATTACGAGAATTAGAGTTAGGTGAAGGTAAAATATTAATTGTTTAACCAATTTAATTTTTCTTCTAATTTCTTAGGAATTATTAATAGAATTTTTTTAAAAATTATTACACAGGCGAGCCTTTAAAATTAGATGATAAAATTGAAGTTGAAGTAGATGAAATTGACCAATCTATTAACAATAGTGAACTTTCGGATGCCCTAAAAGGCGACACAATGACAAGTTTGAGATTGAAGATTAACGAACTTCAACGCGAATTATCTAGGTTACGTGAGGGTAAACCCTCGGATGATGATGCAAATACTCAACTTTTAGTATTAAAGCATCAAGTTGATGATGCAAATCGTGTTAAAGCTAAATTTGAAACGGTAAATAGTTATTACATTTATTTTGTCACTTTAGTTATTCTTAAACGATTTCATTTATATTGTTTATTGTTTTACAGGACTATGTTAAAGTTCAAAAAGAAAAACTTATACTGGAATCTGAACTTGAACGATTACAAGAAGAAATGTCCAGTTCATCTAACGGGTTAGTTTCTATATCAATCAAATTATGTTTCCTAAGCTTTAGACCAGTTATTTAATAATTTTATTTTTATATTAAACCGCGCATTTATTATTAAATAAGTGTAAATAAAAATGAACACAGGAAAGGTTTCGAGAGAGATCAAAAGGAGCTACTGGATACTAAGAAGCAACTTCGAGAAATACAGATGAAATTAGAGCGAGCTGAGAGGGACATGGGTGATGTCAGACCTGATTGTACGTGTGGTATTAAATTTGAATGGCGCATTTTTCGTTTTTTTATTTGTGGTTCAAAGAAGCAATCAAAAATACAATAATGATTGTACAGATGTCACGACTGTATTATACACACTTATTTATTTACGCAAAACTTATTATAGTGATCATTTTTTGACAAAATGATCAACAAAATTTCGACAAACAGAATAAATTATTATATAGAATTTTTAGACGGAAATTGGGAATAGTTTGTTAACTTTTTTTAATAAATGTCCATATAATTTTTATTTATTGTTCATAATAGCTAACACCGAAGCTAGAATTAAAGCGTTAGAGGATGAAAAGGAGAGCTTGAAGATTCATAATGCGTACGTTTAATATTTTAATGTCATTAATTTTATATTTCTTTATATTATTTATTCTAATATTGTGTCCTAACATTCCAGAGAATTGACTTCTCTGCTTCAAACCTTTGAAGAAAAAAGTGAAGATGATCTTAAGAAACAAAATGTACAATTGCACAGAAAGGTTGAGCAACTCAAGACCTTGGTTACTGGTCAACACGAAATTGTTGAGAACTACAAAAATGCAATTACTTCATTCGAAGCAGAAAGAGAAGCTCATACTGCTGAAGTTAAGCGCTTAGAGGTAAGTTGGCAAACATTTTTGGTTTCATTTAATTTACTGTATGTAATCTTATTTATAATTTTTTCCAGCAACTTCACAAAGAGTCTAAAGAACAAGCACAAAAAGAAATTAATTTGGTCACAAGTGCTTGGTTCAATATGGGTAGACGTATTCAAGGTGATCATGTTTTCTTGCAAAGGCAAGGACCTGCATCTTTTCTTAATCAACAACGTTTAATTCTTGATACTCAGGTGAGATGTTATTTTAATCAACAATTCATGAGGAATTGTTAGAGCAAATTTTTTTTTTTTTTGATACGTATTAATTCAAATTTGACTGCGCAGCTAAAACGGCGGTGACTAGAGGTGCTCGAATTGCTGGAACTTATCGCCAAAGCACATTGAATTTATAGGGAATTTCTTACAATTGACTTAGCCGGAACGAACATTAAAATTATGTGAACTTGGATCCAGATTTTTGGCTTAGGTCACGATTTTACAAATAATACACCTAGAACACGATTTATTTTAACATAAATTGTATCACAAATATCAAGGGGATATCTATTTATGTATGTTTGCGTGTTCCTTTATACACTCTTTTTTCTTGCGTTTTTACCCTTAATCACCGTTCTTTTCGAGTTCCAGCATTTCAGATATTATTAAATTGTTTTTTATTATTATTATTATTATTATTATTATTTACCTTCTTCGACTTTTTTTTTTAAAAAAAAATCTTTCAACTATTAATGAGCTTTTTTTTTCTTTTTATTTTTATTTCGTTGAGGGATTATGTATAAATTGTATTTGGGATATATCAGAACGTATTACTCGTATACACATATATATATTTTTTTTTCTTAAATATACATACATTAAGGTGAAACATGTTGTACCAAGTATAAGGAAGTGTTCCTATAGATGTCAAATAATCTGTTGGGTAATTGTGGGGGATTCGGTTTGTGTTTTCTAATATATTGTAAATTTAAGTTCATTTTGGTGATTTTGGTAAGATGGTTGTGTTATGAAGTCCATTAGGTAATGATTTATGTATCAAAGGCGTAATTCGGTAACAAGGACTTATGCAATATGCAAATTTCTTCGGATAACTGCACGATGATGTATGGGGGGAAACAGTACAATGGTATCTACAATAGGAATTAAATTGTTTTACTTGTATTGTCTTGTATCCTAAATATATGTTCTTTAATATCGTTTGTAAACTAAGACGCCTGCATTATAAGAGAATGTAATTATTGTTGTTTATATAAATACATTTTCATTCATCAGGATGTACTTTACGCATGTCAAACCAAATGAGTAGTTATTATGTATTATATCCACGATAAATGATGTGATTTTAACCGGTTACACAACATACAAGAAATTTTGACAATTTTCTCGAGGACGGAAATCAGGTTATTTTGTAGGCGCAAAATAAAGTTGTATTAATTTTTTTTTTTTGAACGCACCGACCATTTTTTTTTAAAATGGGACATTCCTTGATATTGTGCCAAAAAAAAAAAAACCGAATGTAGGTCCAAAAGATTTTTGATGCATGCAAGCTTTAGATGTTGCCTATATATTTTCAATAAATCAATAAAAAGATTGAACTACTTTATATTAAAATTGATTTATACAATTTTAAATCATTAGTAAATTAATTTTCTAAATTGTTTATTGTCATCGTATTATACTTATCAGAATTATGTAATGCAAACAAGAATTCATTTACTATATTTAATTAAAAAATATATTCACAGTTATTTGTAATATTGAAGAAATGTGATCAAATTTATTTTTAAATTAAAGATATAAATATAATTTATCCTTCTGATTTAAAATAAAAATCATTTATAAATATTTATAAAATATAAATAAATATATATTCTCATCTTAAAGTTAAAATTAAATATTTATTGAAAAAATGTATATTTATAAAATAAATAAATTACAAAAATTTTAAATTCAAATATAATTTGATTGAAATTTTTTTTTAGTCTAAAGAATTGTATAATTAGTTCAGAATGAAGTAAAGTACTATATACCGTATTCTTCCGAAAATAAGCAACATATTTATTATAGTGTTGCTTATTTTCGGGTAGTTTAAATTATTAAAAATTTCCCGAAATTTTCAACTCAATTTTCGTGACATTCTCGTGATCGCTGATTATTTAACAGTTACGTGAAGTCGCGAATTTTTTAAACCCGTTTTAAAACCTGTATGTATGCCAAGTACAAAATATGACATCAAAAAAAAAAGTTGTTCGTAAGGTAAAAGTTGTCAAACGCACACATACCTCATATTCTATACAGCAAAAGAAACAAGTTGTTAAGTATGCAAAAGAACAAAGAAATAATAAAGCAGCAAACCATTTTAATATCGATCGTAATATGGTAAGACGTTGGGTAATGGCAAGTTCAAACTGGAATTTTGAAACCAATGAAAAAAGTAAGAGCGCTGGCTCGGGCCGAAAAGCCTTTTTTCCTGAAGCTGAACAAAAGCTGTATAATTGGACCATCAAACAAAGAAAGCAAGGATTAGTTGTGTCATATGCAATTTTACAAAATAAAATGCTGGAAATTTTAAGAAAAGCAGATATGTTAGAACTTTATGGAGGTCTAGTAGAGAATTTCAAAATATCTCAACGTTGGCTAACAGCATTTTTAAAAAGATATAGGTTAGCATTGCGACGACGTACAAAAATATTCCAAAAGCTCCCAAGTAAAACTCAAGAACAATTGGAAAAATTCCATAAATTTGTCATTCGTCTTAGGCTTGAAAAATCTTACGAATTAAAAAATATTTTTAATATGGACGAAACGCCCGTTTGGTTTGACATGGCCGGTAACTTTACTATAAATCCGAAGGGTGAAAAAACGGTTCATGTTCGTTTAACGGGTAATGAAAAAAATCGATTCACTGTCGTTTTGACATGTGCCGCAGGTATTTCCTTTTTATTTTTTTATTTTTTTTTATTTTAAAACTTCTCAATATTAAATTTGTTAATTTATTTTAGACAGAACTAAATTGCCTCCTATTTGCATCTTTAAAGGGAAACGGATACCGCATGGAGAACAAATTTCTCCTGGTGTTGTAGTTTGGTACCAAAAAAATGGTTGGATGGATTCAAACTTAATGCTAAAGTATGTGGACTTTATCAACGATATAAGATCGAAAAATGGTACTCAAAAGGATCTGGCAATGTTAGTTTATGATTCTTTCAGAGGTCATCTGGAAGAATCCGTTAAAAAAAAATTTCATGATAGTGGGTTTAATTTGGCAGTAATTCCAGGTGGCCTAACCAGCATTTGTCAACCGCTCGACGTCTCAATAAATAAGCCATTTAAAGACAATCTTCGTAAGGAATGGCATATATGGATGGCAGGTGGTGATGCTGGAGAAACTGCCTTAGGAAATCTTCGTCATGCTAGGATTAGTGATGTGTGTTTATGGGTTAAGCGCTCCTGAGAGGCAATTTCAGATGAAATTATTTTTGAGTCTTTTAAGACTTGTAATATATCAACGGATTTAAATGAATCGGATTCTGATTTGGAAATTAGTGATGATAGTGATAATGATAAAGATGATGATAATGGCATTGATAGTGGTGATAATAATATCGATGATAATGATGATGGTGATAGTATTGATGATGGTAATATTAGTAATTAGTTTCGGCAATCATTATAATACTATATATTAAAATAATTGATTTTGTTTTGGATGACGCAAGCAATTATTCATTAATAAAAATGCATTGATTTGAATTATTTGAAGTATTTATTTATTATTTAAGTGTTTTTTATCATTTTTATAACATTACATTTTTTTTGATACAAAATTATCAGGTGTTGCTTATTTTTGGGTACTAATTAATTTGGGAGTTGCTTATTTTCGGGGGTTGCTTATTTTCGGAAGAATACGGTATTACTAGACATGTTAATAATTAATATTCTATTATCAACCGCCCAAAATTTGTATTAATATATGATTGGTCTCTTTCATTATACTTGTATTTTAGACTTAACAATGATTTTTTTTTTTGTATAGGTATTACTACTAATAGAAGAAAGAAGTCAGACTTCAGATTTCAGATATCCAATTATCTTATACATTTCTTATCTAAAGATCCTTTTTCAATATTAAGATGACCTAATAATATATTTCTCTACACTAATTGAAATAATCCATTTCGTTACTTTTTTAAAGTGTCAAATATTGACCAAATATAATCTAATTTCTGTTGATTGTTGCCAAAACAATCGGCATTTTTAGTTATAGCCAAAGTTGTTCAATTCAGATGTCATACAAATAAACATTTGACATTAACAATTGGTAGTTATTTGATATATCACTAGGTAAAATAATACAATTCATCATATTTAAAGTGTTGAAAGTTGAACAAAATATAGTCTAATTATGCTAATCATTACCAAAAAATTGGCACTATAAATAGAAAATCAGCTACCAATCAGTATTTATATTAAAATTGGTTAAAATTCAGCAAAAATCAGCTTAAAATCGATTAACAATCAGTAAAAATCAATTAAGCAACTATTTATAAAATTGAAACTAATAAAACTCATTTTTTGTTTATTTAATATTTTTAATATTTATAATTTAATTTTATTATTACATAATAAATTACTCAAAAGAATATATATTGTATTATATTTTATTCAAAAAAGATATATTTGATTTTTTAAAGATAAGAAAAAATAAAGAAATCAGTTAGTAAACCCACTAAAACTACATCTGAAAGGCTAATCTTAATGTATTTCTAAAAAAAAAATAAAGAAAAAAATAAAGAAAACAGTTAGAAAATCACCAAAATACCACCTTTAAAAGGCTTACCACTAGTCGAATAATGACAAATAAGGGACCAATCAGGTTAAATCTGATTACCAAATTTGATCTGATTGGTCTTCTATTTTTTTGTTTTTTTTAGAATTAGGTGATCCCGATTGATGACGATTAATGATGCAGATAGGATATAATAAGGTTCCAATCAGAGTGTTATAAAGATATTAATAGGTTTATTCTTATTGATATCAATTTATTAACATCCAGTTTCCAATCAGGTTATCCTTAAGTCATTAATAGGGATATTTTTATTGGGTTTTTTTTATTTTATACAAATAGCGTATTCCGATTGGTAATATTTTATCAAATTTATTTAATACTCGAAATAATATTTTATACCAATAAGTAATCCTGATAAAAAGAATTTTTATTAATATGAAATATCCTGATTAGTAACATTTTATCAAATTTATTTAATACTCGTAATAATATTTTATATCAATAAGTAATCCTGA